TATTGAGTGTGGCCACATACCAATAGCAATAGGTGTAGAATCGGTACGCGCTGAGCCTCAAAACCACTGCCACTTTCCTCTGTGCCCGTAATTTATACTACCAGTGTCTCCTATCTGCTGCTGATCGGATGGATCCCCTCCACCCAGGTCACCAAATTCGAATCCAGAGTACCTGTTAACATTCTGTGAGATATGCGATTCGGACTCACTTTCCTGCTCGTTCCTATGAAAAAAATCACTTTTCGCCCGTCTGCCATTGATCCCCGAACTCGACACATTCGCACTATCATGAGATTCAGGATAGGGCAAGGGCGAGCTGACAGAAGCCAGCTTGCGACAGCCAAGAGTCGCTGTTTTTGGTGATAGGTAGTCGGACCCGCCTCTGGAGGGGAGAGGAGTGACGGGAAATGTAAGGGTCGATTTGGATCCCAGACTTGGCGGCCTGCTAGGATCGGGCGTTAGCCCCCATCTGGGACTTCCGACTGGTGTGTTGTGATGTGAGATCCAAATTCCTTCAATCTCGATCCCTCGTTCTATCGCCCTCGAACCGAAGGGTATATCATCACTTCCGATCTCTAGCATTCCGGGAGTACGTAGAGCTGCTTCTTCCCTTGCGGCAGCTGCGGTGAGTTTTTTTAGTCGCAGAGAGTTATAGATGTGAACCCCGGTACCGTATATGAGTACAAGAAGCTGTCGTTTAAAAAGAAGCGGAGGAAAAACATGTGTGTTAGAATGGGAGTATCCGTAATGGCACTTTCAGTGGAGGAGGAAAAGGGGGACAGTACTATAAGACATCCAAGGACCTGGGATTTGGTAAGGAGACGGTTAGCGAAACGAAACGAGGTCAAAACCGTAAAGAACGTTGCGCAGCACAAGGTATGTGCATAGAAGTACAACCATGGGACATGAAGGAAAAACTCACAAAGCACATTTTCAGCCACAGCGCCCAATCCACAAAAAATTCCATGGTGCGTGACGTCGGATGCTGATTCGATCGATATATAGGTCCGTTGACATTGAGAAAGAGAGAAGGGGGAGGGGGGAAGTTATCCTTGATGCGAGGTGCCCAGGGAGCCGGAGGAGAATGAATACATCCACAAGAAATGGATAGAGAGGAGTAGTCAAAGCCAATGCTTGTTAGGTTGGGAACAAGAGAGGAACAGCAATAAAGTACGGAACGGCAGAACTGTCGTGATACAGCGCAGGTACATGGGAGCTGGCGGAGAGCAGGGGCTATGTATGTTATGTATATGTATGTAAGTATGTACGAAGCATGGAAAGGAAAGGAAAAGAAATAGAAATGAGTCGAGGTTATTAGGATGTTTCGTTTGTGGCCGGGACGAAGGAGGTGTGGTGTGGCTCTTCTGTCCGCTCACTTGTCGCTTCCACCCGGTGGAAATGTATTAAAGGCGCGCAAAGGGGAAAAAAAGGAGAAAGAGCCTCGACTGCAAGACAACGAGTATAAAACAGCAAGATGGAATGTGTAATGTACAGCGCAGACACAGCACATTCAGCAGAACTCGCGGGGGGAAATGCTCTCAGGGACAACCCTTCACGTCCCAAAGCATCATTTTTTATTATTTCACCGGAGCGACATGGCTCGAATGTGAATGAAAACGAAAGCTATTAATTAGATCAGTAACCTAGGAAGGCAAGAGAAGATATAAGAACTTGAAAGGATATCCTCCAGTGAGTTTTCAAACAGAAAAGTAGATGAGAATGCTTCCATAGAGAGAGCATTTCCATTATTTTTGGAAGTGTGGAAATGAGGGCACCACAACTACTTATGCAAGGGCACACACACACTTAAGCAGGTGGCGGAAGAAAGAAGAATAAAGAAGCAAGAATGGTGAATAAATTAAATGCAAAATCCCATGTCGAGACACATCACTCCCCCCAGACTGTGATGTTGCAGGGGTCAAATGAAATGGCTAGATAGCAGATCTTGAGAGATCTTTGAGGTCTGACTGGTCAGAGACAAAGAAAAACAAATGGAGAATAATAAACTCATCATAAATAAATCAATGAAAAATAAAGAAGCATCTCCAATCAGATGGTGCAGGGTGACAAGGGAGAAACAGAAAGACTTGTCAGATCCGTTACATCCATCCGATACAGAACAAAAGGACTGGGATGCTACACTTCAGACTCTCCTCTCATTGCAGGCAAAGTGGGCGCTGGCATTTGTCAGATGAGTCTTTGTTGAGCTAAAAGACCAGCTGTTGTTGTAACACCGAAACAGAACGGTATTTAAGACAAGAAGTCTCATGTAACTCTTGCATGCATAAGTGTTGGAAGGGATGTCAGGAAGTTGAAAAAGAAGACCGAGATTTCAGGCATATGTAGCTGCATGGACCTTTGCTTATTTATCATATTGGAAAACCCGACCTCGTAAGAGTCGTAACTAAATACGCTAAATCTGCCAGCTGGCGCAGATCTCGCTCTCCACCACTGACATAACGGAACTACCGTGAGGAATTGCTCACATGTAACTGGCATACTAATGTTAACTTCCTATCCCTTTTTAAGCACAGCTTTCCCCCTCCCAGAATATTCGTAAATGTCATGCTCCAGCCCCTCGAGGTCACAACTCTGATCCGCGACACCGATCTCCAAGAACGAGCCCCTGCTCTCCATTGAGGCACGACACTTTCCGCTGAAGTGAGATGGAAAGTCGATGGCGAGCCGCACTTACGCGGCCGAGAATAGCAAAATTCAATCTGCGGGTGCGCAGTGCTAGGCGGGGATGTGATGGATGCAATC